ATGTAATGTTCGAATAATTTGCATGTGATCATTCTCATTCTTCCTAAATTCGAGTCATTTCTTGCGTTAACTTGCTAGTGTAACTGTGTCACCCGTAAGTTTTGCTTACCTTAAAATCTTGTTCACTTATTGACTGATATTTTATGCATTGAAATGGAATGACTGTTGGTTGTAGCTTTAATTTTGTTGAATTATAAGGATATATGTATTGTGGCAACAGTGTTGATATAATTCTGATACTGCTTTAGATATCTCACAATAATATACTTGATAGGACATACGAGTATATGATATATGGTATTAGTGCGACGATATGCTGGGTTATTTTCGTCATCTGGATGTCACCTCTTTTGTCTGATTCCTACTTTCCAAAGAAGAAATATCTTTATACAATTACTTTACTTTAAAAAATCTGCTGAATAAGATTAGCTTTTATGTTGACCATGAACAGTTGTTTCTTTAAGATAATTGATTATCAATTATTGGTTTTAAAAAATTTCAGATCGGCTAATTTCACCTGAAGAAGTTTGTTGCCATAGTGATTTTCTTTAGAAATTGGTATAACTATGGTCACAATGGAGAATGCTAATAAGAAAGAAGATCGTCTACCGAGAGAAGCAAGGGAGATTTTGCAGCAGTTGGCTAGGAAATGGGGAGATGAAACTGATTCAAGTGCATGGCAAATGATTCCTTTGAAGGGAGCCATGACCAATGAGGTCTTCCAAATTAAGTGGCCCACTAAGACAGAGGATGTCTCTAGAAAGGTTTTAGTAAGGATTTATGGTGAAGGCGTGGATGTGTTTTTTAACCGACAAGATGAGATCAAGACATTTGAATTTATATCAAAGCATGGGCAGGGACCTCGCCTTCTAGGGCGGTTTTCAACTGGTCGAATTGAAGAGTTCATCCGTGCAAGGGTATGCAGGTTTTATTCTCTTAGTAATCATGTCTTCACTTTTATTTTAATTTTCAAGAATCAGATTAAAGGGATCTCAAAAGTAGATAAATTTATAAAATATTTTGAGATATGGTAAATTTGTGAGAAGATGATCCCTTTCTTTTTGTTTCTTTGCAACGGAGATTCATTTTTGCTCATCAAATTTCCACCTTGCTTAGTGTGGGATAGCAATTTGAAGATGGCTCTACCACAATGCTAACATATAGCCATGTTTCCAACTCCTATTTTCTACGTGGCTTGTTTTATCTCTATCTACCCGGTTTTTCCTAGCACCTTTTCGTAACATTGCATATTTTTTTAGGAACGGTATAGTAATGTTATGCCGGCTACTGAAACAGCCTTGGAGCATTTTATTGTGTTACTTGCATAGTTTATATCTGGCAATTTAATATAATATGAGCATTTTGTTGTGTTACTTGCATAGTTTTTTCTTCTTGTAGTGTTTAGTTTGTCTTGTTAATATGTGACTGTCAGACATTATCAGCAGAGGATCTACGTGATTCAGAAATATCTTCTCTCATAGCCTTTAAAATGAAGGAGTTCCATGATCTTGATATTCCGGGTCCAAAGAATGCGAGCTTGTGGAGTAGATTGCGGTATGACACTGTACTTTAGATTGATCTTGTTTTCCCTTAAACCTTTTCAGATATGATGATCTACACTTGCACTCGTTATTGTTCTTGTAGTCCTGACATAATTTTGCTTTCTAAACTTCAGAAATTGGCTTATTGCTGCCAAAAGAATTTCTCCACCTGAAGAAGCCAAAGCCTTTCGCTTGGATTCTATGGAAGACGAGATTTCTCTATTGGAAAAGAACCTCTTGTGGGATCGTCGAAGTATTGGTTTTTGCCACAATGATCTACAATACGGTAACATAATGCTAGACGAGGAGACCAGATCAATAACTATAATCGTAATATTCTCTTTCTGCTGCCTTAGAATTTATTTTTCTTGAAGTAGGGGGGAAAATCATGTCTATGTTTTTTTTTTTTTTTTCCAATTATACTGTTTGATGAACTGCATTACATAAATCTAGAAAACAGATTGCTCATTGTCATTTGTCAATTGAAAAATGAGAAAATGGTATCTGAGTGATGCAAAGTATATATGATGTGATCATGGGAGTGCCACTCTGTTAGCTGTAGTCAGGAAACAACCTAAACTACGACAACCTTCGGTTTTTAACCATGGAACATAGCACTTACAATAGCATCTGTCATGCCTCGCCACTAATTTTATGTTTGTTTTGATCTGATGAATATTTATATCCATGATTGGTACTTTGAAGTCGAATCATTCATGGAGACATGAACATATTGCCCTTGCTTGAACTATTGCTAATTTTGGTGTATTTATTATTATTATTCTTATTGTTCTTATTGTTATGTTATTCTTTTTTAACTGGAACCCATATACAAGTTTAGCCATTTAGGCAAGAGAATATCATGTCTTTTTTAGAAGAATTGAAATTCGAGTCATGTTACTCGTAATTGATTTTCATAACTCTCCTTCTCAGGATTATGAATATGCAAGTTATAATCCCATCGCCTTCGACATTGCAAATCACTTCTGTGAAATGACTGCTGATTATCATACAGACACTCCACATGTTTTGGACTACACCAAATATCCTGGTTTGTTTTGTATATATATATTTTTATGTATTTGGTGTTGATTGAGGCGCAGTATTGACTTCTTTTTTCCGTAACAGGTTTGGAGGAGCGTAAAAGATTCGTGCAAACATATATGAGCGCTTCGGGTAATTTTACGATCTTTACTATATAGACTAGGAACTATGAATGGTTGTCAAGGGATCGAATAATATGCATCCATGCCAGATCTTGTCTGTATGAGTACAATATAATGCTCATTCCCGAGATGCTTTGATTTTCTGTGCAAGTTTAAGTAGTTTTCGATTTTTGTCCGATCTTACTTCAGTACATATTGCATGCACTGAAGGAACCATCTATTTTTGGGACTTGGAAGTTCAAAATTTTCAGTGATGAGATAGATGGAGATAGATTTTCTGGAAGTTCAAAAGATGCATTTTTGAGCTACTTATTGATTTGGGCTCTCAAATTATGTTCATATGCCAGGTCAGCAGCCCCGCGATGCTGAGGTGGAGCAATTAGTCGAAGATGTTGAGAAGTATACTCTTGCTAGCCATCTTGTTTGGGGCCTCTGGGGAATAATATCGGTAATTTCACTCTTCCGACCCCGAACCATGCATTCTTTTCAATAAATTATACGCATTTTTCGGTTAGTATGTGTGCAAACTGCGAAAAAAAATCATTGTTCTGTTTCGTAGTAACATTTATGATATTATTTTTCTCATGTGTTGGAACAAGATAATGTATTGTTTGTGTTCTATGCCTCGAATTATGATATCGTAACTCTTAACTTGATCTCCTTGATTCGTTCCTTTCATTTTCAGGAGCATGTAAACGACATCGACTTCGATTACATCGAATATGCGAGGCAGAGGTTTGAACAATACTGGGCTCGTAAACATGTTCTACTAGGCAAGGAATAATAACTCGTGTTTAGTTGGTGAGTTTTCGTTTCGATGTGAAAAGCAGTAGGAAAATTCGTTTACAAGGTTCGATGTTTAGGATTCGATTAAACTGAATCAAGTGATGCACATAAGTATGATTCCTGTATTTGAGCTCCCATGTTGAAAAGTTGCTCCATATTATTGTTGTGTAATAATAGCAAACAAACAAAATAAAATTGTTTCATAAACCAAAAAACTGAAAAAGAAATTCAATAATATTAATTATTACAAGTTATTTATTGTTATTTTATTACTCATTATGCCTTTGTCTCATGAAATTTAAAACTTATCATGTCATGTGATATGTAGTCCACGTAGTGTAAAAGTATTTTTTTCTTATACAAAAATAATGTAAGTTAATTTAAATCTTAATATTGTTTGAAGATTAAATTATAAGTTTATTACTGAATTTGTAGTTTATAAATTTAGAAAGTGTTCCATTAAACTTTTAATTAGTTTGAATTTTATATTAAAATTTATAGTTTATAAACATACATATTCCATTCAAAACGAGAATTAAAATAATATAGTTTCTGAAAAATTACATTAAAAACACATAACAACTATTAATTAAATTAAAATAATATAGGTTTTGAATATTAAATTATAAGTTAATTACTGATAAATTTATAAAACTTTTGATTAATTTGAATCTTATATTAAAATTTATAGTTTATAAATTTATTTATAAAACTTTTAAATCTTATATTAAAATTTATAGTTGATAAATTTAACTGAACCATACAAGATACCAATCACAGGAATACCAGGACCACGTTACAGTATCTGTTATGAGAATGTCTCGACCATTTGTCCCATTTCTAGATAATTATGAGATGATAGCCTTCCGAGATAATTCATACTATTATGTAGTATTTTCACGGGTTTCTAGACAGAGAAATTGGCGATTGTGCAGTAGTCACTCTTAGGATTAAGTGAGTCAAGCCTACTTCTTACCTACAGTCCGACAATGTGAATACAAACCTCGAGTCTTGATTTCAAGAAAAGATTTTAGAAAACGGGAGAGAAAAGTTTCAAAAAGAGAGTTTTGAAAGCAAAACAGTGTATTATATAGCATACAAGCGGTAGCAAGAAAAAAAAATAATAAATAAACACAACTTAACTTCATATGAAATTACATATTATATTCAAAAACAAGAATTAAAATAACAACTATTAATTAAATTCAATGTTAGATCTATTCTAGCATTCATGATATTTTTAGCATTCAGTGTCGTTATAAGATAAAATTAAAAATTTATTTATACATATAAAAGATAAAATAAAAAAATTATGATAGAAATGAAATACGTGGCAGGATTATACAATATAATATAGGGAAAAAAAACTGCAACAAAAATTCTAATGAATCGGGACGGAACTAACCGAACCGATTTGTAGATGAAGAGAAAAGGTCTAGAAGCTCTCTATTTATACCTAAAACTCCACCGCTCCTTCTTCTCTCTCTCTCTCTCTCGCTTCGGATCAAATGGAGACACTGGCCGCCGCCATTGCTTCGATTCTGCTCTCCTTCCTTCTGATTCCGCCTTCCGCCGCCGCTTCTCGCAAGCTCCGCCCTCAAGACCGCCGGAATCTCCTCGCCAATGCTCTCGCCTCCACTCCTCCCATGGGGTTCCAACTCCCTTTCCTCCTCCTTTAATTTCTCTTTAATTTCTTTCTATTCATTTTTTCGCTTTGTTTTGTAGATGGAACAGTTGGAATCACTTCCGGTGCGGCATTAGCGAGACCATCGTCAAGCAAAACGGTGTCGTTTTCATTTACTCTCTTTATTTTCTAATATTTATTAATCGTTTTTTCTTTTTTTAATAATTAAATAAATAAAATAATTCTACAGCTCATCTTCTTGTTTCCACTGGCCTCTCCAAGCTTGGATACGTCTACGTTAACATAGGTAAAAATAAAATTTAAAATATTTTTATTTTTTTTTCTTAGTAATTGTAAATTTGTTTTTACCCGACTAAAACGCAGTCGTTTTTAGATGATTAAATAAACAAAGAATATTCTTTCCATTGATTTGAGGTCTTTTAGAGAAGCACAAAGCAAAACCATGAAAGTTTATGCTCAAAATAGACAATACATACTATTGTGGAGAGTCGTGTTCGTCTAACATGATCAAAACCATGTCCTAAACTTAGTTTATGCCAATAGAATGGAGTCGCCTCCTCGAAGGCCGTCAAAAAATGACTAGGGCTCCAAGGAGTCTAGCCTCGATTAAGGGGAGGTGTTTGGAGGTGTTACACGATGGAAATCCCACGTAGCTTACTCATTGTGGTGCGGAGAGTCTGTTAAACATAAATAATAAATAAATATATTTTTTTTTGCTTGGGATATTTTAAATATAAATTATATAAAAAATGGAAATTATTCATTAAAAATTTTAAAATATATATATTTTTTAACTGTAAATTTTTTTATTAAATTATTTGAAAAATTGCACCAAATAGTATTATTATTATTATTATTTTAATTTAATATAAATTTTGTAGGGATATTTGGTGCCAAAGAAGGCCACATTTCCATCTGGAATTAAATCCCTAGCAGATTACGTTCATAACAAGGGCTTAAAGCTTGGAATTTACTCTGATTCCGGGTAAATCCCACCCTCTTTCATCTTCCTTTTTTCCCTTTTTCCAATTTTAACCCCACGGTGAATTTCCCTCCAGCACATTTACCTGCAGTAAAACCATGCCCGGTTCACTATACCACGAAGAACAAGACGCCAAAACCTTCGCCAACTGGGTATATAAATTAAAACGCCTTTTTATTATAATTATTTATAAATTAATTGGAAATTCATTATTATTTGTTTTAAATTAATAGGGAGTTGACTATTTAAAGTATGATAACTGTAACAACGACAACATTAAGCCAACGGAGAGGTGGGCATTATGGTAATTTAGACACTTTTTTATTTTTAAAAACCCAAAACTCAAAATTTATTAATTTAATTTCCTCTCTTTTTAAAGATATCCCATAATGACAAGAGCTCTGATGAAGGCAGGACGGCCCATTTTCCTATCGCTATGCGAAGGGTAAATTAAATACTTTATTATATTATAACATTTATTTTATTTTATTTTTAATTATAATTAATTCCTAATCTTACGTTTAAAACAGTGGCGACATGCATCCTGCCATGTGGGGTGCTGACGTGGCAAACAGTTGGAGAACCACCAGTGACATCGAGGACAATTGGGACAGGTAGGATTATAGTTTTAATTTATATTAATTAATTAATTCTCATTTAATAATTTATTTTATTTTAACAGATGAGCAGAGCCGACTTGAACGATGCCTTTGCAGAGTATGCAAGGCCTGGTGGTTGGAATGGTCAGTTTTATTAATAAATAAATAATTAATTATATATGTGTATATATATTAAAAATATATATTTAATTATTTAATTATTAGATCCTGACATGCTTGAAGTTGGAAATGGAGGGATGACTAAGGAAGAGTACAGAGTCCACTTCAGCATATGGGCCATTTCTAAGGTCATTTCCTCAGGCCCAAAGCAATAAAAATAATAATTTTTTATTTTATTTTTTTAATTTTTATTTATTTTTACAAAATTGGCCTCAGGCTCCACTTCTCTTGGGTAATGATCTGAGGGAGATTTCCGAGGACCCAATGGAAATAATTGGGAATTCTGAGGTTATTTCTGTAAATCAAGGTAAATTTAATTCTATTATTATTATTTGGAATTATATTTAAAAAAAACATTTTTGGACTAAAATTGGTTACGTTTTGGTAGATCCTCTGGGTGTCCAAGCTAAGAAGGTTAGAAGCGGACACGTGGAGGTAATTAAAATAGACAAATTTATTAATTATTATTTTTTAAATTTAGAGATAATAAATTAAAAAAAGGGTAAAAAAAAAAAATGGAACAGGTTTGGGCTGGGCCTTTATCTGGATACAGAGTGGCGGTTCTGTTGGTGAACAGAAGGAAATGGAGGATGGCAGGTAGGGCCTATTGGGACGACATCGGCATTCCTAACGACACTGTCGTTCAGGCGAGAGATCTCCTATTATAGTTTTGTCGGGAGAGTTATCTCGTACCCTTAGGTATTTTCTACATACCCACCTGTGTCGGTTTTAGATACAGGTACCCTTTTGTTGAAAGTCGTTCGAGCTTTTCCTGAGAATATGGCATGAGTTACTTTAGCGAGCGCATGGTAATCAAACATTGGTGAGAGGTATTTTCTACATACCCACCTGTGTCGGTTTTATATACAGGTACCCTTTTGTTGAAGTCGTTCGAGCTTTTCCTGGGAATATGGCATGAGTTACTTTAGCGAGCGCATGGTAATCGAACATCGGTGAGAGGTATTTTCTCTACCCCTTCCTGCCCTAAAGAAACAGGGGAACCTTGCTCCTTGAACCGATAACCATCTTTCGGCTAACCTAGCCTCCTCTGTCCCTTGGACCAATAAGGGGTAGTATAGAAATGTTCACCTGTTGTCCATCGACTACGCCTTTCGGCCTGATCTTAGGCCCTGACTCACTCTTTGTGGACGAACCTTGCGGAGGAACTCTATAGATAGACTCTTATATAGAAAAGAACTCTTCCCGATGCCTTGTCTAGTAAATTTGAACTATTCTCCTTTGAACCTCGAACGTAGCTGTCAAGTCCTTGTTCAAGAATTTGAACTCGATTCTCCTTTGAAATTCGAATGTTGCCCTTAGCTGCTAAGTCCTTGTTCAAGAATTTGAACTCGATTCCCCTTTGAAGTTCAAACGTTGCCCTTAGCTGCCATGTCCCTGTTCAAGAATTTGAACTCGCTTCTCCTTTGAAGCTCGTTGCCCTTAGCTGCCACGTCCCTGTTCAAGAATTTGAACTCAATCCCCCCTTTGAAGCTCGTGCTATCAAACTGGTTTCCCATCTCTTAGAATCGACTACCTATTAAACGTAAAATTGTAATGTGAAATAAAATAGAAAAAATTGATATTAAATATATTAATATATATTATTGAATTTGCTATATAAAAATTAAAAACAAACATTCCTCCACAATTATCTTATTTTAAAACTATATCCATTTTGATTTTCTATTTTTCCTTCTTAATTTTTTTATTCGTCCATATCAACTATGTTGACTTCTAGCCTTCACCAAAATAATAATAATAAATAAATAAATAAATAAATAATAAATAAATAAAAATAATAAGTAATTCGATGGAATTATTGGGGGGTAACGCTGAGTTTGTTGTGTTCTTAATCATGGTGGAACCACCATTGATGGCCTGCATGGGCAGATCGCACTTTCTCCATAATTGCTTGTTTTTCAGTGAAGAAGCACTACCAAATCCTGTCTCCTTAGCGAATTCAATGCTCTGAGGTAACGAATCGTCCAGTTCTAATCTAAAACTAACTCTGTAAATAGTACATTCACCATTAATGCTCTCAATCACAGGCTACAGCCGTCGGCCATGGTTTCATCTCCAGCTTCGATTATGCTTTTCCTCTACTCCGTCCTTTTCTGGACCTTCTTGTTCAGTAGCAACGGCAATGGCGGTGCGATGGCTGGAGCAACTCGATCGAGACCTCTACGGTTTGCCGCTGAGTTTGATTATGATTCCCCCAGGAGAGTTCTCCTCAATAATGGCCTCGCTCTAACTCCTCCGATGGGGTGAGTATTACTCTCTGATCATGATTTTTGTTTCCGTCTCAGGAGGATGCATCAGATTGAATATAGTGTAGTTTGTTCGTTTAATTGTCGACCTTCTCGGTTTCGTTCAATAGTGTTTTATTCACATTTCGATAGGAATGGATTGCTGATTGCTTCTGTTTTTTTCGTAATGAGCTCAGATGGAATAGCTGGAACCACTTTCAATGTAATATAAACGAGAATTTAATCAAGGAAACAGGTGATATTTTGATCTTGAAGGCGTTTTTCTGTTTGGATCTGTGTACAGTGACTGAGATACCGATCCTATTTCTTTTGCTAAGCGGATGCAATGGTATCCAGCGGCCTTGCTGCATTAGGATATCAATACATCAATTTAGGTGATGATTATATTTCTTTCTTTCTACATTTCTTTGATTTTTCAGCTTCATGCTTTCTGTTTCTGACATTAATATGATCTTACTTCCATTCGAGTTAGATGATTGTTGGGCTGAACTGAATAGAGATGCTAAGGTAAAATTCAATGTTCTATTTCATGTCTTGGATGATGACGATGAAAATCTCAATATTTGCATTAGATGATGAAGACTCCATCGATTTTTTCAGGGTAATTTAGTTCCTAAATCTTCAACATTCCCTTCTGGTATTAAGGCCCTAGCAGATTACGTTCATAGAAAAGGGCTCAAGCTCGGAATTTACTCTGATGCTGGGTATGTTTATACACAAATCACATCAGCTTAAACAACTTCCTCGTTCATTTTCATTGTTGCACTTCATCAAAATGCTGCAGATAGTTTAATTTGCTGAAATATTTTGGGTTATAATTCCATTATCAGGCCCTGTTTTAGTTAGATCTTTACTGAAGTTAATACAATCTCTTCAGGATCCAGACTTGCAGTAAGAAGATGCCAGGCTCCCTGGGTCACGAAGAACAAGATGCAAAAACCTTTGCATCATGGGTAAATTGCAGCCTTGTTCTAGTCAGGAATAGAGATTATTTCGTTTTGTGTTTAATAGGAACTGATATGTATACTACTATTGTCTAGGGGATCGATTACTTGAAATATGATAACTGTGAAAATACTGGTACAAGCCCAAAAGAAAGGTAGGATTCGCTTTCTATGTCCTTTAGGTAAGGGAATAGTCCAACTTTCGACCCTATTTGGCCTCCAGTACTTTCTATTCCCGGTAACAAAGTGAAGCTCTTTTCCTAAAGCGCCATTGATGCGACAAAGACTTTTTCGGTTGTCAAGACGATAAAAGAAAGAAAGGGAGATTTGAACCAAAATGCATCTTTAGTAGCTTTTTCTCTTTCGTGCTTCTCGTGATCGAATTTTCCAAATAACTGCAACACAATTCCTTGGGGACATAGGTATCCGAAGATGACTAAAGCCTTGCAACAATCTGGGAGACCCATACTTTTTTCTTTATGTGAATGGTTAGCAATTTTTTTCTCTATTATTTCTCCATTCTAGAGTACAGAGGGAGTTCATTTCTTAAGTTTTTTCTCATTTAGGGGACAAGAAGACCCAGCTACTTGGGCAGTGAATGTAGGAAATAGTTGGAGAACAACATCAGATATTCAAGACAACTGGAACAGGTAGTAAGCATACATTCTTTCAAGCATATATTTTATGATCATTTCTGGAAACATGCAATAATTTCAAGAACTCTACCTTATTTGACTAGTTTCTTTTCTCCCCCATATGAATTTCAAGTCCCAAAAACTTCCTTTAGCAAGAAACTGATGCTGCTACTTAAATGGTACAGTATGACAACTATTGCTGATCAGAATGACAAATGGGCATCTTATGCTAAACCTGGAGGATGGAATGGTAAATTCAAGAATCGTAGTTCAATATGAAAAACGATTCTCTTGTATATAGAGAAATATTGGCTGGTTAGCTTGTTGGTTGGTCCCATTTCATATCTCTCAATACCGATTATCGATAACTGTTTAAACTCAACCTTGAACAATTTTGGGAAAACTATTTTTAAGGAGAAGTATAAAATTCTGAGTATTCATAGTTATCATTAAATAAGTTTTTGTTTTTTTAAATGATTATGAAATAACTTTGTTTGCGTGAGATCCCACGTTGGTTGGAGAGAAGAACGAAACACCCTTTATAAGAGTGTGGAAACCTCTCCCTAGCATATCCTTGAGGGGAAGCTTGAAAGGGAAAGTTCAAAGAGGACAATAACTACTAGTAGTGGGCTTGGGCCGTTACAGTTTGTGTATTCACAATTTTCCCCTTGGGCTAATACTGTACTACAATCTCAGAAATGTTAAAGAAAATAATCTTAGTTTAAAATTTCCTTTGTTCAGATCCTGACATGCTTGAAGTGGGGAACGGAGGGATGACAACAGCAGAATACCGTTCTCATTTTAGCATTTGGGCACTGGCAAAAGTAAGTACCATTGAGTAAAACTTTTCCAGAATCTACGTTTTAGTTTTAGATTGGTAATTTCTCAGATCTTATTAAGACATATTCGGGTTTCAATTTCATTAACCATTTAATAAAACCACATGAGGATAGGATTGAATATCTTTGCTTGATTTGAGGGTTGAGTATATGACTTTTTTGTGCTTCATTAAGTAGAAGTGTCTTGTTACTTTATTATTGATTCCTTTCTGTTCTTCATATGTGAAAGGCTCCTTTGCTGATTGGATGTGACATCAGATCAATGGACAACATCACCTTGAAATTGTTAAGTAATAAGTTGGTTATTGCAGTTAATCAGGGTAAGTAAAAACCAAGCATGATAATATTCTCTCTATAAAATGGAAAGATTAACCATTAACCACATATGACATTATTTACTCCCATCTAAAAGTGTTTTATCCATGTAGATAAGCTTGGAGTCCAAGGGAAGAAGGTTTACAAACTTGGAGATCTTGAGGTAAATGTTCATCACCAACACATTCTAAAAGGAAATGAAAAGATTGTCTACTTTCCTCTTTAACTTTTCTACACAAAAACAATACAGGTTTGGGCAGGGGCACTGAGTGGTAAAAGAGTCGCTGTGGTTCTATGGAACAGAGGCTTTTATAGAGCCAAAATCACTGCATCTTGGTCAGCTATTGGTTTGAGTCCATCAACTACTGTTACTGCTAGAGACTTATGGGAGGTAAGATCTAAATCATGTGTTAGGAATCACGATCCTCCACAATAGTTTGATATTGTCCACTTTGAGCATAAGCTCTTATAGCTTTGTTTTGGGCTTCCCCATCATCATTCCCTAAATTAGCCCATGTAGGACTCACTCCCAACAATGCTCAACAATCCTCCCCTCGAACAAAGTACACTATTGAGCCTCTCCCAAGGCCTATGAAGCCCTCAAACAGCCTCCCCTTAATCAAGGTTCGACTCCTTCTCTGGAGTCCTCGAACAAAGTACACCCTTTGTTCGACACATGAGTCACTTTTGACAACACCTTCGAGGCTCACAACTTCGTTGTTCAACATTTGAGAATTCTATTGACATGACTAAGTTAAGGGCATGGCTCTAATACCATGTTAGGAATCACGGGTCTCCACAATAGTATGATATTTGTCCACTTTGAGCACAAAGATCTCATGGCTTTATTTTGGGTTTCCCCAAAAGGCCTCATATCAATGGAGACATATTCCTTACTTATAAACCTTTGATCATTCCCTAAATTAGCCAACGTGGGACTCTCCCTCCCAACAATCCTCAACATCATGTAATTAAAAACACTTTTTCTCGAACTCAAGTAGCACTTTCACAATATCTAATAACACTTGAAACCAATGATGTCAGAAGTAAACATAATTACTCTTTTAGAAAGCGTTTTCACTTAAAATTCTCGAACTCAAGTAGCACTTTCACAATTTCTAATCACACTTGAAACCAATGATGTCAAAGTAAACATAATTAATACTCAACAAACATAATTAGTACTTTTTTAGGCAACGTTTTACTTAAACGTTACTGTTCTCAAACTCAAGTAGACTCTCGAGTAGAAAACGTTCGGTTTTGTGACTGATTATGAAATTCTCATTCCTGCAACAGCACTCCAGTCAGGTGGTTCAGCATCAAATTACTGCTCAAGTAGACCCTCATGACTGTAAGATGTATGTTCTCACTCCCCATTAAAGCCCAATGAGAAAAAACCGCTAATGTTCTTGTGATTGTTTATTGTTGTCTTCACTTCAGTCTCTATGCTGTGTTTCCTCGGATTTTACATGCTTATCTGTTTGAGATGTGGCCTTTCTTTCTTCAATGTGGATGAACAAATGCTGTCATATTCTTGGTTTTTATTATTTGCTAGGGACTTAATAGTTGTTGTTCTCTATTTGGAACATAGACATGAAATGCATTTGTGCTTCATTCCACTTCCTATTCTCAAGCTTATGTCATCGACCTTTTGATGTTGAACGATAAAATGCATTTGAATCAAAATTTGCTGATACATACCTGTTTTTGAATGTCGATTTGATGATGCTTGCTACATGATTTCAATACTTGGAAACAAAGTTTCAAGATTGTTGTTAGTTGTATTTAGAACAACTTTTGCACGTTCATATGCTTACTTCAAACACTTAAATGCTCCAAGCATACTGCTAGTAGATATTGTCTCTTTTAAACTTTCTCTTAAGATTTTTAAAACCCGTCTTGATTTAATGTGTTCAAGCTTTCGATGTTGAACGACAAAATGCATTTGAATCAAAATTTGATGATATGTACCTGTTTTTTTTAATGTCAATGTGATGATGCTTGCTACATGATTTCAATACTTAAAAGAATGTTTCAAGGTTGTCGAGTTGTATTTAGAACAATTTTTGGACGTTCATATGTTTACTTCAAGCACTTAATTGTAACAGTCCAAGCCCACCGCTAGCCGGTATTGTTATTTTCAGGCTTCCTCTCAAGGTTTTTAAAACTCGTTTCCTAGGGAGAGGTTTCCACAACCTTATAAAAATTGTTTCGTTTCCCACTCCAACCGATGTGGGATCTCACAATTCATCCCCTCTGGGGCCCAATGTTCTTGCTGACATTCGTTCCTCTCTCCAATCAATATGAGATCTCGCATAAATAACTCTCATGTAGAGGCATAAATTATTGAAAAGATTGATGACCGTTGGATTCAAGTTAATTTGATTGGCCTCTTCGAATCTTTTCAAACTGATAAAACACTTATTTTCATGCCGCTAAAAAGAACCATCAATGAAAATGGCTCCTTACCAAAATATGTTATTGCTAGGGGAGCATGTACAATTACAGGAGGGATGTTTAGTACCGATTCTTATAGTACTGTTCGGAGAGTCGATAAGTTAATTCCTATAAATGTGTATTTGTCGGGTTGTCCACCTAAACCCAAGGCTGTTATAGATGCAATAACAAAACTTGTAAGAAAATATCTCGGGAAATCTTAGAACAATAGCTATTTCTAGATAATGAATTAAACAAAATTTTAAAGGAAAAGTCAAATGAAGTAAAAATTGTAAAATTACAGTGTGGCCTCGCCAACAAATCGGTAATTCCATAAGCTATAGTGGCCTTGGAAAGGATAAACTGGTAATTTTATACGCTAATTCATTAAGATGTCCAAAATTTAGGTCATACACCACAAAGAAGAAAATAAATAAATAAGGAAATCGCAGGTGACAGGATATTTAAGAGCTTTTCGAATGGATAATAACCGTAATTTCCAAATTTGTTTGCTAACGAGGGATTCATCGTCGTTCGCAAGGAGAACTAGTGCGAGAGTTTCTGAAGAACAAGCTGGTAAAGGGAAGAACAAGAGAATGTCCGTGTTCGAGAGCATCGGACTAGGGTTGGCTTTTCGAAATGCTGCTTCCACTTGCAACTTTCTATCTAATCCAGGAATCTTCCTCAAATCTGTTGCTTCAAACCGTGAATTTCAGCAAATTTCACTTCGTTCTCGTGCTATGCTTTCTGAAAATGGCCATGAATCTATGTTCGATGCCAAGAGTGCTTCTACACCGACTGCAACCGACGCCCAGGGCTCTGGAACCACTGCTAGAAGTCGTCGATTGCTTAAGCTTCGTGAAGAGAAGCGAAAACGGGAGCATGATCGTCTCCACAATTATCCTGCCTGGGCGAAGTCTCTCTCTCTCTCTCTCTCTCTTTTCTGTATGATTGTGTGTTAGCATTTTTTTTTTTTAGTGTATTCGATTGATAATGAAATCGCCGGTAAAACGACAGAGTGTTAGAAGATGCCTGCAAAAACGATGCGGAATTACGCGCTGTTCTTGGCGATAGCATTGGCAATCCAGAGGAAATGAGGAAAAAGGTATATCGATTTGGCTGATATTCATCTTCTTCAAACATTTTCTGCTTCCAGCTTTTGATATTGTGTCAGTTTTTTTAATCTATTTTTCAGATTTCTTCACTTCATTTTGAGTGACAAGAAACCTTAAGAAAATGCTTAAAACTTGTTTGCAGTATATTCGCGATGTAGGATTTAATGTTTTCTTGATATATTCTTTATTCATCGGTATGATGTCTTAGAAGATAAGCTTGCGTCGAGTAGGACTATCATTATATCTTGTTGATATAGTTGAATATAATTTGGTTGGTCCAACATTTTCTGAGTATTGGTGCGTACTATCATGAACGGATGCAGATGATATCACGGAAGCTAGGAAAATGTTATTTCTGGATAATCAACAGGATTACTTTATTAGTTGCCGTTTCATAAGTTGCTCATTTGATTTATATTCTAGTATTGGCTCTTTATATTATATTCTTCCAAGATCAACTTAATTATCACACAACATTTTGCTGGAGAAGTTTCTCATATGACTAATAATTCATATACAAATGTGTTGTTCATCAACTTATTTCGCATCTATTGTCAGTCACGAGCCATTAGCTTCTTACTAGAGTTTCAAAACCAATCTGAATCTCATGTATTAAACACTTGTCCGTGTTGCCATTCACATAAGTGATAGAACTGATGAACAGAATAAGCTTGTTTCTCTGAGGTATCAGGCAGTAGAGATAAAACTTCTAAATCTTTTCCATGCAATTCCTGTTAAAAAATGGCATTTTCTTATTTTTGTGCTTGATTACATCTTACAATGTGATTGTGGCAGGTTGAAGAGAGAGTTCGGAGGAAGGGTAGAGATTTCACAAAGTCTAAAACGGGTTCCATCCTTGCCTTCAAAGTCAGCTTTAGAGAGTAATTTTTTTTTTATATAAACGCCCCTTACTTGTTTATCATCCTTTTTGGTCCTCACTAGTATTAGCTCATTTCCAGCGCCAAAATCAAATCCTAGTTCTCCATAATACAAGAAAAGATTTCACCACATTGCCAATTCCATTTTTTCTTGCAATGAACCGTTACTTATCAAATGTGAATTTGTTCTTCTCAATTGCTCAGGTTTCGAATCTCTTTTGAAAAAAAATGTTTAAAACCTGAAAGGTAGTGTTAATTCAACAAGTTCTCCTTTAAAGAAAGCTGTATCTTAATTAAATAAGTTTTTAGTATGGCTTCCTTACATGATAGGATTTTGTTTCAACTTTGGGTTTTCCAAATGTGCAAGTCATGAATTTTTTTGACGTGTTGGTTTACTTTTTTGAATATAGTTACTGCTTTATGGGTACTGGCAGTATCATGGTTAAATGATGCTTTTCTTACCTTATCAGCTGATATGAGGATGGGAATATGCATTCTCGTTATTTAGACCGTATTTGATTACCATTTGATTTTTGGTTTTTGAAAATTATGCTTGTTTTCCTATCATTTCTCTACAATCCCAGGATACAGTGATATTGGAGTTCTGCTAACTTCAAACATCCTCTGTGGCTGATTTTGTCCTCGTTTCTCGATTAACTGATTTTTAAGTTTAACCATGGTTTTTTCCACACTTAACGTTTATTTATACCTGTACGCTGTGTCTGGTGAATCTTTTAGGCATCCTTAAGCTGCTAATGAATTGAAAATTATGTTGATGTGGTGGCAAATTGTTCGTAAGACGTTCGAACTTTACCATTTTAAGTAACTAACCATCCTTTTTCCCTCTGTTTTTCTGCATAGCTTCAATCCTCTCGATTCCTACATATGGTTTGAGTTGATTGGATCACCATCTGATCGAGATGTTGATCTTATTGGCAGTGTAAGTTAATTCTTATTGCCATAGAATGGTTTTCTTTATCAGAATTTTTCTTTTCCTTGACCCGCTTAAACTTTGAAAATGACCATCTTCCACTTTCGCGCGACTCTCAGTGCATCCCTGAATGACTCTTAGCTTTCCTTGTATTCTGTATTACTTACATTCCAAGTAACCATGCAGGTTATCCAGTCATGGTACGTCATGGGTCGATTGGGGGCCTTCAACTCTTCAAATTTACAGGTTAATTCATATACCTTTTAACCTAATTGATTTATTCTTCATTAAAGTGTCCTACCCTTGTTAAATTACCAGTCAACCCAACATCTTAAACTCGTGTTAAATTTAATTATATCAACATTCCAACACCTCCCCTCACTTATAGGCTTGAAAATTTGTAGAAGGCCCAACAAGACCTCTCTAATAGTTAAATCATTAATCAACCCAAAAGCTTAAGCTTATGTATTATGGTAATTTAATTATATCAACCCTCCAACAACCCTAATGATCTGAAGCCAATTACATTTCCTTTTTTTTTTTTTTTTACCTATATCACAAATCAAAATTAATTCTCTTGTTAATTTCATTACTTATATATATATTCGAATGAGGGAAGGCCTTTTAGCCAGTGTTTTCATTATTTTCACTTGACTTTTTGACGTGTGGGGATAACATTTACATTATGAATGTATCACACAACTACTTAATTGTTTTATCAGCTTTATATGGATGAAAGTAGGTTCTCTAGATCTTTTCTCTAGATCTCACTATTTATTTATTTATTTGAAAAGGAAAAACACGTTCAATTGCATATGAAATTGGTTATTTAGAAGCCAATTCCTGATTCCTTTCCAAAGAAAAGGATAGCTCAACCAACCTGTTTAGGTGGCCTGTCTCTCACACCTCCCTCCTAAGACTTAATGGGACCAAATCTAGAGCTGCTGAGTGAATTGCTAAATAGTTGGAATAAAAACTTCATTGAATCATTATTCGAACTCACACGAGAAAGTAATTGCAGGTGGCGAATTCATCGATGGAGTACAATCCTGTGTATGACGCAGAAAAAGGGTTTAAAGTGATGCAGTCATCATTTCATGATATCAGTGATGTTGAGTTTCAGGACAACTGGGGCCGAGTTTGGTAAGAGTTCTTGGAATTAACTGTGTTTCCATTGTTCAATCTCAATGTGGAAAATTCAAACAAGTTGTGCAATAATGTGTGGCAGGGTCGACCTCGGTACGTCTGATTATTTGGCCATTGATGTACTTTTGAACTGTTTGACTGTTCTGAGCTCAGAGTAAGTTTGTTTTCTGGACGAATACTTGTAAAGATTATAAAGGTTATAGGTATGCATCTAATTAAGGAACTTGTTGACTTTCTCACTTTGAGCTACAGATATTTAGGCATCCAACAAGTCGTTTTCGGGGGACGTCGAATGGGCGATTGGGAAGAAGGAATGACAAGCCCCGAATTCGGGTACAAGTTTTTCAAAGTCTAACTTCTTTTCAATCAACATTTTCAAGCTACGTGTATATAATGCTCTAAATGGTAACTAACAATTTATGTCCTTAGCAGCTCTAAATTTCCAGGAATTAGTCCCTATTTTTCTAAGTTCCAATCCCAATAAGGAAAATGAATAATTTATAACAAAGTTTTAGTGTTATTGATTCTTAGGTAGACTAAATCTTCGTCTAAACTTATTGTCGTAAAAGTAGAAAATTTTTAGCCTTAAATTCCCTTAGGTTGAGAATGTCGAAAATTTGGCCTCAACGCTCACCCCCAAGAGAAAGGGACTTCTAAATTGGCCCCCTACCTATATCGCAGCTTTCCTAAAAATATGTCACATCCTCTAATAAATTATCTATCTTCTTTTTTCTATCCCATACCAATAATATTGATATTAATCCCATTTTTTATAACGATTGTTTAGATGAATCAAATAATTTCTAGCTGTAAAATATCAATACAAAAATAGTTAAAAAAAGGTCTACTTTTGTCACTATAGTTAAACTAAGACTTCTTTTATATATATATATATATTATTAAACACTAGATTGTTTTTTTCAAGTTTAAAATTAAAACTAACGGAACACTAGTTTACTTGTTAAGGCTTAACTAATCAGTACTCCATTATTGCCCACACCCTGTTAAGGAGCCATTTAGTTAAAGGTTGTCTAGAAAATAATTTGTGTTTAGTGTAATTTCAACAATTTTTCAAGGTTATGTAGTTTTAGATAATTTAATTTTTATTAATCTTTTAGTTTATTTTGTAATAAATTTTAATTTTTGAAAATCAAATAAGGGATATGATAGGAGTAAATTATATTAAATGAGATATACTATGGCCTTAAATTTTAATTCATTAATAAATATACTATAAATATATGTTTTTTTTTTTTTTTTTTGAAAGAATAATAATATAGTTCCTGGTAAAGTTTCTCAAGCCTATCCAAAAACAGACCATTTTTCGGATTTAATAGAATTAGTGTAACATAATACACGAGATCGATCTGTCTGCCAGATATTACAAGAAAGAAGGCTCTCGGTCTCGACAAAGACGTAAATAAACATAATACCAAAATACAGCACAACTAAAATATTGAGAAACAAGTTGGAGTTAGAAAGAAGATAGATATGGTGTGCACAACAATTAGGGTAAAAAGAAAAGAGAGGGTAAAATAGGTTAGCCATAAGAAAGAAAGAAAAATAGGTAAAACTCACTCAACTCCTTCACCACATATATAAGAAACGAGGTGGTTTATGAGATGACGGTTCTCCAAAACCCAAATCATCCAAATCCAAATCCAAATTCAAATCCAAACTCCTAATTCCTAACTCCTAACTCCTACTACATTAGCTTTTTTCTCTGTTTCGGTATGTGCAGAATTAGCCAGTCGTCAATAAAAATGCCCTGTACGTACTTTTTACTTCTATCGACCAAAGATGAAGGCGAAGCCAAAGGAGGAGGATGAAGGTAGGTTCGTTCGAACAGAAGAGATCATGTGCTATGGGAAAATGGCACATTCTCTCAAAGAACAGCAGCTCCCCTTTTACCTCTTTTACCCACCACCCTCACAGATTGTTGCATAGGAAAGAGTGTTTCAATCTTCAGTATGGGAACTCTCTCCCTCTCTCTCTCTCTCTCTTAAGGCAACCCATACGGAGAGGATACTAAAAGTCCTCTTACTCTCCTTTTTCCTCTTTTGTCACTGAAATTCCTGCAGTGCGAGATTCAACTCCTGTGCTGACTTTGCTACTGATCCCCTTTTTCTGTGCCAAAACAAAAATAAGGGTACCGCAATCGCATAATTGTCGCAAAAGTTCAGAGACCCATAAAGTTTTGGAAAAGGAAAAGGAAAAAAAAAAACATGCAGAAATGGCGTGCACTAACAGTGTTTTCTGACGTTCGCAAATAAAAAACGAGTAAAAGATAATTGTTTTGAAATATTAAGTTTCAGAAATAAAAGGGAAACTGTGTAATTACGACTACATTTGGGTTGGGTTGATTTTAAATAAATCATAAATTAATTTTTATTTAAAAGTACACTTTATTGTGAGTTTAGTGTGTAATTTTGGAAGGTTATATGAGTGTCCTTTTCTAAAAATGGCATGCTATTTAAGAGCATTTTAATTAGTGCTTCTAAAATTAGTTATAAAGTGCTTTTAGTTCAAGCTATATATTAGATGGAGTTGGATACCTTATGAGGGCTGGCAGGCAGCGCTTGACTTTTTCAAGCTCGATGAAGCAGAGATTGCATCGCTCCAACCTACAAACGTCCATTTTACACAACCGCTTTTAACACAATCAAGACTTGATATCTAAATAGTTCTAAACTATTAAAAAGAAAAAAGTTGTAAGATACCTTTGCTCTGCCTCAATATTTACGCCAACAGACGAAGTTGCCGATAACGTTGAATAAATCACCGAACCGAACGTCCTTACCAGCTTAAGAAGCATTTCCATAGCGATGTCCAAAAACCTATAGTTCCAGGAAATGAAATGAGTAATTCAACTTTTGTCTAAAAAAGAAAGCTTCAAATTCGAGTAAATGTCTGAAGTTCGCGAGTCTACAGCCTTAAAGTCACAATATAAGTTTTTCAAAACCGAAAACCATAGAAAAGATTTATCAAATATGGAAATTTGCAGGTGTAGCCCTTTTGTATGTGTGCGCATAGATAGAGAGAGAGAGAGAGAGAGAGAGAGAGAGAGAGAGAGAGAGAGATGAAACCTATCCAAGTCACTTTCAAGGAGGCTAGAAAGAACTGGCAGAATACAACTGCAGATATCCAGAGTGATGACTTCAATTTTGTCGGTCAAAATACTAATTACATCAGCAGCAACCTGCATCAACAGCAATCCGATCCGAGTTAAAGAAGCTAAAATCAGAAAATAGTAATTCAAAAAAAAAAAAACTTTCTTCCACTTCAAAGAACAAGATTATACTTACTGCATGATCAGCCATTTTCTCCATCGCAGACACCGCCCCTTTAATGTCATGTCTTTCCCAATATCTATAGACTGCCTATAAAAAGAATAAGATGCAAAAACGTGCACATCATCATCAAGCTTAAACTTCAACTGCAGCAAGCAACTGACAACAAGCGAACGGGCAGATGTCGAGAATCTCATGATTATATGTTACACGAATTGAGGAATAATGCTTTTTACGCTTTAACGAATACTACACTCTGATTCGACAATGCCAACTCATGTAACTTTCCAAGTGAAGTAAGGTATCAAAAAAGTTTCTTGAAAAACTCTATCCATTATGTTCTAAAATAATGCTAAGAATTTAACAAAAGTGTAATACAAATTTATTCATACTGGCAATTTAGGTGACTCATTTAACATGATAAATGTGTAAAATAAGAGTTAATTGTTTGCAAATGTAAGCATGTGTTGGTTTAGAATTGAAGGCTGTCATTACTTGCAATTTTGCTGAACGAGATTGCATCGAGTTGATGAATTGATCATGTTGTTGTAGAACATTTGCTATGATATCCTCTTCGCTTGTAGGTGCTACTGTTTCCTTCTCTGGAGATCGACGATAACCTCTCTGTAAAAAAGTTGGATTAAAGAAGAGAACAAAAGAGTAAGACCCCGTGAGAGTTCAAAATTTTTAATCAGTATGTCATTAACTTTTTAGTCACAATTATTTTCACAATCCACAATCAATCACATTTCAAGGAAGTTACAACTCGTCGTAATGTACCAGTTCTTGGCCATAGTACGGTCATGAAAAGGGATATACACTTACGAACAAGAAAAATAGTTCAATTCAAATTAGGTCATACCCCGTTATTTAGTGGAAGACTGTCCAATGCAGCTGCTCTTCCAGGGGAGGCATTAAATGTTGACCGGCTAAAATTAGCTCTTTCTCTTTTCTCCCAATCTACACGAGAACGCATTCTCCCTGAAACATAACCACTTTTTAAATGTAAGGCATCAGTTGTTGTCAAGAGGAAAAAAAAATCAATAACTAAATATGACAAAACCTCCTCTTGTAGCTTCTGGAAAAGCTCCATCTCTGCTTATTTTATGCCCTTGAGATTCATCTAGAAAAAAGAGAGAACACAAAGAAATATGACAAAAGTATGTTGATAGACTAAAACTAGCGAGCCAAAACAAAGACATGCAAATGACATCATGATCATAGCCCAAAAAACCTCCAAATAAACATGCAACATGGTTACCGCAACCTATCATAAACATGGTCAGTTGTTCCAATCAAATGAGTATGAACAATATGAAATCACATAAATCAAAAGACTAAATTAACAGATAATAGACTCATCAGTGAAGTAGCAACTGCCGTAAGTTGAAATGGATGATATAAAATGGTTACTACATAATGTAACAGATAATACCTTCGTGTTTGTAGCTTGCCGTTGACTCTTTTGTTTCTGTTTCATTCTTACCAGATCCAATATGTCTTTCTTCTTTTACAATCTTCTGTGGAGCAGATACTCCTTGAATTGAACCAATACCATGCAAGGAATTCCTATTATCTGCAATGTTGCTCATATCAGCAGCCTTCAAACCTCTGGATTCAGAAAGGATAGAGATAGTTGAATTATCAACTTCATCTCTACCACTTGGAAACCTCCTATTAGTATCAGTAGTTTTTGATAGCAATGGTGCTGGAACTGCTCTTCCAGCAACATCAAGTTCCTTTCTAGAGTCATCCTGCTCATGCCTTGAATTTGTCCTTGTAAGTGGCATTGCCCTTCCAGCAACATCCAATTCCTTCCTAGAATCATCCTGCTCATGCCTTGAATTTGTCCTGGGAAGTGGCATTGCTCTTCCAGCAACATCCAATTCCTTTCTAGAATCATCCTGCTCATGCCTTGAATTTGTCCTGGGTAGTGGCATTGCTCTTCCAGCAACATCAATTTCCTTCCTAGGATCATCCTGCTCATGCCTTGAATTTGTCCTGGGTAGTGGCATTGCTCTTCCAGCAACATCAAAATCCTTTCTAGAATCATCCTGCTCATGCCTTGAATTTGTCCGGGGTACAATTACAGGTATCACATCTGATTTATTGAAGATAGGGTTGTTGAATGTTGAAGTGGCCTTCACAGAGTTTCTCTTAGGTACCACTGCATTAGGTACTGCCACCGAGCTAACCGAATTAGCCTTTGGGCCAGCATTTGAACTGACCCTTTGGGGAGTACTTGGCCCATTTCCTGTGGCTTCAATCAGTACAAAAAAGAAAATCAATGATGTATACTCCAAGACTCCATGTTCTATAAATGGAGAGGTTGTGCCAATAAAAAAGGATAATTCAATACAACGGGTAGTTCTAAAAAGTAACAATAAGAAGTAATAGTGAAATCCTACAAATGACAACAAAAAAGACAAGATAAGGAAATTACTTACATGACAACGGTTTTGGATCCTTGACATCGGTATTTTGAGAAACTGACAATCTTCCCAATGTTTTAGTTTCCTTCAATAGTGGATCAGAAGTTTGTGATACTGATAATCCACCAAAATTAGCCTTGGGATTGTTCTCATTTTGCAGTGATAGATTACTGCTGGATTTAGGTTCTGAGCGACCATTTAATCTGTTAACGTTATTAATTGCATAGGGCTCTGTACGCTGTGCAAGAGGCAATGAAACAAAATTACATTGAGTTAAAAAGAAACGTAAACAACCTGGAAGAATAAAATGGCCTATCTCTATACAGAGTACGTATGGATAATGCATTGTACCGTAATGTCTACAACCCACACTCCAACACAGTTCTGATTGTATGAACAGCCAAGAAGTTTTCCCTCGTGAACATTAAGATCAGACAGCCTAGACCAACCAACTTCCACTCCATCATGACATCGTATTGGTTCCCATGAGAAAACCTATTACGTAGCACCATTGTGAAACAAAAATTGAAAACGATGTTGTTCTATAGAGATGAAAAACCATTTGCACAAAAAAGAAAGTTACCTTCAGACTTTCATGCAATCCACAAAGCAGTGTCCTCCCATCAGGATTAAAAGTTAAACAACGGACTCCACTGGTCTGATGCAGAAACAAGAATACGAGATGTCTCAAAAGAAAATAAAAGGCAGTCATCGACAAAAATGCTCTCCCTTACGTATAGTTATTCAAAAGCCAGAGAAATAAAAATTCATTTGACAAGTACCTCAGGTCCAGCTGAACCAATCAACTCGAAGGTTTCCAGGTCCCAAAATTTAACGGTTTTATCTGCTGAGCCTGATCAAGAAAAAGAAAATTAAGACGGGGTTTAATAACAAGCAGATCTAGTGTTTCATATATGCAAAATTAGTTTAAGTTTTCCACAATTGTTTTTCTTTCATATTAGTACACTGGCCAACTGCCAATGAAATTTAAATCTTCTTTCTGATACAGAATTAATTATTGTTCTCCTTGTATGGAATATCTCATCATCTTTTTGCACTTTCATATTCATACTTCGACAAAAAGCCGGTACATTAGAAAATTGGAAAACTTGAATTAAGACAAGTTGACCGTCTTTGACTAGTAAGGCTACATAAAACATCGTTTGATGAAAGTTCCCAGAAGGCCTTGGCAACCATCTCAATTCGGTGGCCAGATACCTCCTCTTTTATCTTGACCAAAATATAGAAAGAAAAAATGAAATAAAACAATAAGAGAAAAATATGTGTTTAAAAATACGAAAAAGGAGACTCATCTGCCCAACTGTAAATGAAAAAAATAAATAAATAAATAAATAAAAAATCAAAACTACAAACACTATTGTATCCCAGGGTAGAGAGAGAGGGAGGTATTAAGAAAACACACTTGTAGCTTGGTTGTCATTCAAACCGGTCGAGAACAAACATTTTTCTTTCCCTCTTTCTCGATGAGAAAGAAATATATAAGCATTTACACATTCTTTAAATATTGTTAATGATTCTATGGGCAAGAAAGAGAGAGGAGAAGAGAGACAAAGGCAAAAGTGCATAACAAACCTGTTGCCAGCAGAAACTCATGAGGGTGAAAGTCTATACACTGAACCTGACCCTCGTGGCACTTGAAATCATGCAACAACTTTCCAGCAGTCAGATCCCAGAGCTGTTAAAATAAGATATATTAGAAGGCTCTTTTTAATAGGAAATGATAATTCAATGAAAATAAAATAACAAATTTTGCATGAGAATAAAATGTCCAATTTTCTAGAAATTACATAATTAATATACAATTATTAATACAATTTATACAATAGAGAAAAAGAACTTCATCAAAATTGTATGCAACTCAAAAACTAAAAACTTAACTTAACAAGCAATAAGATAAGCACTATCAAATTTGCATTCAACTAATCTTTTACAGTTCCCCACCAACAAAACCCACAATTGAGCCAATTTGGCTGAAATCCACATAGGCCACAGAAACCAGTGAATAAGTCAAAAGGAAGATCCCACAACAAAAGAACTTACAGGAGATGGTTTAAACCAAACACACAATAAAAACTCAAAATCACCATCTATCAATAGTTTCATTCTTCTCCATCAAACACCATAAACAAGACCAATGTCTTTCCACACACAAGCTCCTTCATGGCTAGGTGTGTATGGTACAAAGTGATGTACAAACCTAATTGAACTAAAGCATCCGATATATATAAGAGATCAAACATATACCTGGAAGTCTAGGCATATCAATATTGTGATCTATACCATTTAAGTACATGAATATCACCTGCTGGTAAAATAAAGGAGAAAAACAGCTAAAGAGGACAAAGGCTAGAGAGCGGCAGGCATGTGAAAAAAAAAGAACTAAGAAAACAGTCAGAGTATTAAGCGACTTGTCCTTAGTGAGCACATCTAAGCAAATGATGAAACACTAGTACAAGACAGCTCACTTGGCTCCAAGCAATACATCAAAGTCGTTTGTGCCCAATGCTTAGACACTTCTAGGAAGATAATCGAGGGAAAAAATTCAAATAAACAAATTGTATAAACAACATTACTAGAGATTTATAAAAGAATGGGGACTAGATTCCTAGCTCCAAACTATCTCTATAACCAGGGGAAATACAGATACGAGAAAGCTCTCATTGTCAAAATGAAGGAAAGGTATTACGGACTCCTTTGTTAGTGAGGACCAAAAACAAATCACAAAATGGTTAATAAGGTCAATATTTTTTCTGGTATGAGAAATGAGACTAATATGGTTACACTTGCTCCATAGGTTTGATCAGGAAAAAACTTGTCGTTCTCTTCCAAAAAGGACAGTGATATCATGAAACTGAACTACAAGGAAAAGAATTTCTAACCTTCACCGTGTTGTCTTCTCCACCAGATACAACCCAACGACCATCTGGAGTAAATCTGATTGCATTGACCCCTCGAGTGTGACCTTTGTATGTGTGGATACATCCTTTCTTCCTGATATCCCATATCTTAAGATTTGTATCCAAGGATCCAGAAGCAAAGAATTCCCCAAAGGGATGAAAATCCACAGAAATGCAATTGGATCTATGACCAGTAAGTGTTCGAACAACTAGGAAATATCACAGGAGGAATCCAGAAAATGGAAGATATAAGTCAACTTCACAGTACAATTATCCAAGGAAATAAACATTACAATATTGGAAACTGTCAATAAAGATGAAGGAAATATGTTGAGGTAATTGAAAGCATACTTTTAGCCTCCTCCAAATCCCAAAGCTTAATTGTGCCACTAGCAGCCCCTGCAGCTACCAATACTTCTGATGAGTCAAAGCTTACAGAATCTATTCCACTCGTATGGCCAGTCAAACTCTGGATGTGAAAGTACAACTAAGCGTAAGTGCAATGAAAAATGATATTACGAACACCGCACCTTTAGGTACTTAGTTTAAGCGAGTCTGCATCAATATTCTTTGAATTTAAAATAGCCTAATCTGTATCTAGTAAATCCTATTTACCACAGTGCGCATGGAATTCTTATTCTTCTTCTTCTTCTTCTTTTTTTTTTTTTTGGACGTGGAGGGAGATAATTGTGAATAAAATTAATTGCATGTTGTTTTTATCACAAGAAATATTAGAAGTGCAAGAAAAATATCAAATAATTGGCTTGTCGAAGGATATTTTTGTTAACTTGAGAAGAAATTAATAGAGCACAACCTATGTACCCTACTGTAACCGAGGTGAAGAATAGGAAACCATTAATGGCAGAAAATGAAACATACCAGTATGGCGTTGGGTTTACCGATAGCCCAGAGATTGACTTTGAAATCTTCACCACCGGTGACAAGAACACGAGATGACTTCCTCCCAATCTTCAGGCAATTGACAGCGGAAGAATGAGCCACAAATTCTTCTGTATAAATAATTGTTAAGGCAAACTGGTAGGAGCGTTCCCCAGCCTCCAATTGTAAGGCAGGCCATTTCTAATTAGCAAGCCATGAACTCAAAATATTCGCACTCACACAGAGATCTGATGAGGATACGAAAATGAAAATCGCAAAGCGAAAATAACAAGGCAATACAAGCAGATCGAGTCGAAATAACAACACTTCATTTTGAGATTTTAAAATCCATAGATGAACCCTGGGACATTGAGAAAGGATACGTAGCTTGTACGCCCGTTTGGTAGTCATGGCATGTATAAGAAAGATTTTAGGTCCACAATTGCATCAGAGCGCGAAGAAAACCTAGAAATTGAAATTGCAACAGCGGCATTCCACTGCGCACATTCCCAAAAAATTTGAATCCGAGAATAGCGCAATAATTAGTGACACTGCTTCATCAACTACTTCCAAGAACCGACGATCTCCACTGCAACATCTTAGATCTCAAAAAGGAAACTCCACCTACTCTTCTACCACCGCTCCCAGCACCAAGCAACGTCACTGTAAACACAAATTTCCAAAGGAAAAAAAAAATTAATCAAGAAACCTCCAACATCCAGATCAAAGATAGAAAAAGAAAACACACACAAACAAGCAAAGAAGAAAACCAGAAAAGAAGACTCCTCAGTTTGCTTCAAGCAAGTCAAGAAAAAGCACAACACGCTACGCTTCCAACTCATGCTACCTCCATCTTCCTCCACACTCACACACATCAACAAAAACCGCAACAAAAAAAAAAAAAAAAAATCCAAAACCAAATTTCAAAACGCGAAAACAAACGAGATAGAAGAACAGTACAGTATTTGAGACGAGAAATTCTTAGTTACAGGCGTCGGCCAGAGTTCAAGAGACGGCGACGGAGACGACGTCGATAAACACTTCGCTTTCCTCCACCTACAACGGTACCGCCATGGCCATATATCCCGCCGAAGTAAAAAGCTCCTTGAGAGAGAGGCAGAGAAGGACAGAAACCCAAAACTCAATTTCAAAATGAAAATTAATAATAATGAAAAAACAAAAAAAAAAAAAAGAATTTGATAGAGAAGAGAGTGAGGCGCTTTCACGTTTCGTGTCCCCTCCCTCTCCCTCCCCCAACTAATAAATAAATAAATAAATAAATATTCATATTGTTTTTATTCAAATTATTAACAATTTTTAAAAATTAATTGTTATTTTCTTTTCTTTTTGTTTAATTAATTTTAGGAAACACTGAGAGGGAAATTGTAAAAATAAATAAATAATCATTTTTTTGAAAAATGAAGAAGCAGCGGTTTGGTCAGCGTGAAAGCGACGCGCCACGGACTGCTCCCTGCAGATGTTAATGGGCCAGCCCAAACCTTAATGGGCCACTTGTATCTAATGGCCCATTTAGTTTATTATTTTATTATTAAAATTTGAATTTTTTTAATAAGATATTATTTTCTTATAATGTGATTTTAAATATATATATATATACATATATTTATAAAAATTAAATTCAAATTATTAACTATCAAATTATAATTTAAGATTAAATAAATATTACAAAATTATCAGGCATTTAATAAACATAAAAGATATATTAGTACAAAATTAATAAAGTTTTAAAAAATTAAATTCGGTTAATTTATTAAAATTAACTAGTTTTAAGAGATTTTTACTGCAATTTTAATCTCATAAAAATTACCATATAAATTTAAATTTGGAGTTAAATTTTAGAGTTAAAAATGGATAAAAATTAATTAATTTCAGGGAAAATTGATTTTTTTTATTTTTTATTTATTTATTTTTACAAATAATTTAAATTGCAAAAGAACTATTCTCCCTCCTCTTCTAATTTAAAATTTATGAAAAGGCAATACCGTTAACCCACCACTTTGTTCCCAATGCCTTTTGACGCATTCATTAAACTTTATATATTAATTAATTAATTAATATTATTATATTTGTTACAATTAAACTTTACTAAAACTTTGCATTTTTTTTTATTTCTTAATTACTCATTTATTCAAATTCTTCTTTACTTTATTTATAATAATTTTTAATCATATTTTTTTTAAAGAAAATAATTCGATAATTTTATAATTTTACTGTAATGTCCCACGTTGGTTGGGAAGGAGAACAAATCACGATTTAATGACGCGTTTTAAAGCCTTGAGGGGAAGCCCGAGAGGGAAAGCTCATAAAGGACAATATCTGCTAGCGGTGGATCAAGGTCGTTACAAATCGTATTAAAGCCAGACACCGGACTATGTGTCAGGAAGGAGTTTGTTCTTCAAAGGGGGCTAGACACGAGACAGTGTGTCAGTAATGACGCTGGGCCTAAAGAGGGTGGATTTGGTGACAGTCCCACATCGATTGGAGAAAGGAACGAGTGCTAGCGAGGACACTGGACTCCGAAGGAAAGTGAAGTGTGATATTCCACGTTGGTTGGGAGGAGAACAAAACACCCTTTATAAGGGTTTGGAAACCTTCTCGTATTCTCGACTTCTCCTATATAACTATAGGGATCGTTGTTACGAGCACGTGAGATAATCATTTCTAAACTTGCAAGTACGTGAATTTAAAACCGTTAAAAATAATATAATTATATAAAATAAAAAATAAAAAAAGTCAACTTACCAATTTTATTTTTTAAAAAAAATATATTTCAACTTTATTTATGTTTATCCACCCACTATTCTTAAAATTAAATTAAAATTAAACAAAAACATCTCACCATCTTCCTCTGTGGACCCCACACAAATGCCACTTTTTTTTTTCTCTTTTTTTGAATTTCAAAATAATTTCTTTTTTTATATTAAAAAATATATATAATGTCGGTGATTGGAAACTCTAATAATTAGTGGGGAAAATCACAACAACTTTGGAAAATTAATATTGAGCCTTTTATTTTATTTTTATTTTTATTTTTATTTTTATTTTTATTATATGTTATGGTTTATTATAATGTTTAAATAAGCACCACATAAAAGCGCTTTCCAGAGATATTGTTTGAATGTGACAAATGAATAATTGAAACCATATAACAAACATTCAATAATTAAGTTAATTATTAGTGTATTATAAGATTTAATCTAATTTAATTTAATTTAAAGTATGATTTGATTAAATAGATATAAATAAAGGTGTTCGAGGATTTAAATTCCTTGCTCGAACCAATAAAATAAGTGTTCAAATATTGATATTTATTTTTGTGGAGATCGAGACGGAGATTTCTCGCGAGAAATTTGCAGATGTCGGGTTTCTCGTAAATAATTTTTTTCAGTTTATTAATCTTTAAAAAAATAATTATTTTATGTTCATTTTTCAATATAAGATCTATTTAAATTTTTTTTAAAATCTAATTTTGATATCAAAATTAATTTTTTATTTAATATAACCAAATAGCGTATATTTTGTTAATATACATTGAAAATATGTTTTTATTAGGCAGAAAAGAGGAATATAATCCTGTCCCTAGCCCGGAAAAAAATGTTTCTCACTCCCTCCCCTATTCCCCATTAAAACAGGGAATCCACTCACTGTTTAGGGATGGTCCTCGACCCCACAGGTAAAATGGACATTTCTAGATACCCTCGCCTAACGTCATTCCTAGACCTGTTAGACGAGCTTAATTGCTTTCGTGACAAGAATGATTCATTTAGATTGACATTAGAATCCACATTAGAATGAGAAATTCAATTCAGTACTTTTCGAAGTTTAAGTTCATAAAAACGCTTTCAAAAAGTCAATACATAGATTGAACTTGTAAATACTCTATACTTAAAAATAAAAAATAAAAAAAAAAAGAAATTGGGTCTATTGACTTTACAAATTACATAAACTCCCGCTAAAAAAAATTCTCCAATTAGATCAAACTTTAACTTGTTACACAAGTTTGTTTGGTTTGCTCGACACTCAAAATATTTAATGCTAAATTATTATAAAAAAGTTAAACCTATATTGACAACAATTTGAAGGGTCGCTAAAGTGGTCACCCAAAACGGTACTCTAAGATGCCGCTAGTTACAAAAGATGGATCATTAGTTACTCTAGTGGTCGGCTGCAACAGTAGTTGCACGACAACCATTGGTTACCGACAACAATAGCACAAGGGTATTTTAGTCATTTTCAAATATCATAAAATTTTGCGTTGATTTCAGTTCTCAAACACTAAAACGACGTTTTTTTCTCTCAAAATTAAACGCTTAAAGGGTAAATGACACGGATCTAATCCGTACCAAACGAGACAAATTGGTTGGTTCATTCATTTCATAAGGGACCTCTTTCATGAAAGTGCAAAAACATAACATTATTTCTTCATAAAAGGTGGTGGACGATATTTGGTACAGGTTTGGACATTTTGTACCAACTGACAGCCAAGAATCTCGCCCAACCCTAAGTGTTATAAATCATTTTGTATAATGTAATAATATTTAATTTTAAGATCAAATTTATTTATTGGACTGCTTTAATGTCATATTTTGAAAATAATTTTGTCCTAATTAATTATTTTATATAATTATCTGATTCTATGTTTTTAATAAAAAGTATTTTAATTATAACAAATTTGGTAGAATTCTTTATATAAGTGTGGAAATCTCTCCCTAACAAACGCGTTTTAAAATCGTGAGGTTGACAGCAATACGTATTAAGCTAAAGCGGACAATATTTGTTAGCGATGGGCTTGGACTGTTACAAATGGTATCAGAGCTAGACACTAAACAATGTGTCAGCGAGGACACTTGGGCTTATAAGGGGTGGATTGTAAGATCCCACCTCGGTTGGATAGAAGAACGAAACATCTCTTAGAAGGATGTGGAAACCTCTCCCTAACAGACGCAATTTAAAATTGTGAAGCTGATAACGATACATATCAGGACAAAATTGACAATATCTGTTAGTGGTAGTCTTGGACTGTTACAAATGATATCAGAGCCAGACATTGAGCATGTGACAGCGAAGACGCTGAGTCACCAAGGTAGGTGGATTATGAGATCTCACATTTGTTGGAGAGGAGAATGAAACATTCCTTATAAGAATGTGGAAACCTCTCCCTAACAGACACGATATAAAATCGTGAGGCTGACGACGATACACGTCGAGCCAAAGCGAACAATAGTTGCTAACAGTGGGCTTGGACTATTACAAATGGTATCAAAGCCAGACACTGAGCGGTGTGTCTGCGAGGATGTTGGGTTCCCAAGGGGGGTGGATTGTGAGATTCTACATTAGTTGGAGAGGAGAACGAAACATTCCTTATAACAATGTGAAAATCTCTCCTTAACCGACACAATTTAAAATCGTGAGGATGACGACAATACGCATCAAACCAAAGCAGACAATATCTGCTAGCGGTGGGCTTGGACTGTTACACTTTTGGTAATTATATCATCTCCTCCATTGTTTATCGGGTTTCGTTGTTGGAGTTTCTATCTAGCCTCATGGGTACATTATTATCCTAAACGTTGATTATATTCATGAAGGTCGTCTCTATATCGATCTCCGATTCTCATGTACGAGATCGTGCATGAAGACAAAAAACTAATTTTCGAGGAGAGCTTAGCAACAATAAGAGCCGACCTTCATGAATATGATTTAGGTGTTGAGGGAGGTTAAAGGTCTTCATTGGGGAAATGAATTGATATTGAAGCAAGAAATTTACCCAACTCACATCAGTTAAAATCAAACTAACCAATCTGACAATCCAAATGATTTCTAACCCATGTCAGATGAAGTGGTTAAACTTGTCAGACAAAGGTTATTTTCCTTATAAACATGGTAAAATCAACAAAACGAACCATGGTAAATAACACCATATGCTCCTACTGCTACAAATTAAGGCAATAATCAGAGGAAAAACAGATATTTCTCTCAAGTATTGACTGTTCTTCATTGTCTCAACTCAACTATGCAGGCATTCATACGACATCCGCTAAGCTCGAGGTTAAATTACGCTACTACGCTATGGAATGTACCTCTATAACTTACCCTTTGACAACCTTGTGAGTTTCATTTTTTGTCTGTCATCAATTTCATGCTTAGTGTCATAATCGCACTCTTGCGATAGTGAGAGAGCGATTGTGTGGCACTTGTTCTAACTCAGCGAACAAGTCAGCCGTGAGAAATTCGAATTTCGCGGACAATGTTGGCGCATGCTCAACTTCAGATCCCGTTTGTGAAAAATGTTTTAGAAAACATGAGCGAGGAAATACATTTGAAAAGAGGTTGAAAGAATAGAAGAAAGCAACGTTATATGGCTATAAGCAAATAAAGAAACACCACAACTTAAATAGCATATAACTCAGGATAGGAAGAATTGACGACTAATCTATCCCCCTATAGTACATTTTGGGGCATTTTAGCCCTGACGAGTATAGACATGATTTTGGTGAATGGTCATACACCCCCATATTGACACAACACGAAATAGTAAAGACCTATCTAAGATGAAAGCATGTAAAAGGGGTTTGGAACAGGCATGCGGCTATGGGCACAACGTCTTGGACAAGCATGATCGGGACATCCGACATGCAACCATAGACAACACGCCTTGGACAAGCATGACCGTGAGATAATATAGATAGCATTTGTAAATGCAATCACAGATCAAGGACGCTCTCGAGGATTGAAAACTCGATACTTCATATAACAAATGTGACGATTTTCAACAATCCATGTTGAAGAAAACTTATTAAATGTGTCCTGCTGGTAGAGAACTAACAATTACTTTTCTAATGTAATGCAGCAAGTTCAAAGCATGCAAAGATGCATAAAATTCTACACCCATCTCATTGCACTCGAAAACATATAAAGCTTTCAACAAGCAAACAACAAATTTGTTCTTGTCTGCTTTTCAGCAATCTTAGGGGCTTTGTCCAAGGAAAAAGGTTTGGCCCTCAAACTTTGTAATGAGATTCATTCTTAAACTCCTCTAACTTTAGAACTCGGGTCCATAGTTGTCGAACCTATAGAACAAATCGTCTTCAAGTAAGGTCGTTAAAACACCTCTAACTCTCCCCACTCTTATCTGCAGAATGCATTTTTCCATCTCATCTAGAGTCATTCATGTTCATCAGTTAAGCTCTTTTGAGCTATGGCAGAGGTCATCATGTAGAGTTATTAAATAAAATAACGTGCACAATATACAAATTGCAATTACTTCCATGATACAGATCATCCATGTAACAATCCAAGATCATCCATGTAACAATCCAAGCCCACCGCTAGTAGATATTGTCCTTTTTGGGCTTTCCTTTCCAAGTTTTTCCTCAAGGTTTTAAAACGCGTCTATTAAGAAGATGTTTCCACACCCTTATAAGAAATGCTTCATTCTCCTCTCCAACCAACGTGGAATCTCACAATCCACCGTGGGGGCCCAGCATCCCCGTTAGTACACCGCCCAGTGTCTGGCTATAATACCATTTGTAACAGCCCAACCCCACTGTTAGCAAATATTGTCCTCTTTGGATTTTTCCTTCCAGGCTTCCTCTCAAGGTTTTAAAACGCGTCTATTAGGAAAAGGTTTCCACACCCTTATACGGAATGCTTCAATCCACACTCCAATCGATGTGTGATCTCACAATCCAATTTTTCAATAAAGATGACATGGGCATTCATTGTTAAGTTTCTACTTTGGTGAGTACTACAGAATAGCAACAAACTGGCACTAGACAGAAATCTGAAGTTTTCGAACTTTAAACGACTTATAACCTTCTTTTTCATAAATAGAAACATATTGTTTAATTTGGATCACCTTTAAGCATAGGTTAACCGTAGCGTTTTCGAAGAAGTCTCATGTATTGACCTAAAACTAGAACTCTAGTTTCTTCTAAACTGGCAACTCAGGAACAGAACAAGATTTGGTGTTCAATATTCCCCCTTAATTGATTATGCAATGGACTATTTTAATATTCTACACCAAAGTAAATCAACAGTATGCTGTATAGAGCTCGTGTGGCCTTTCGACCTGCGAGTTCTAGACACGTAGGTACCCATTCAAAGATGTAAGAATGAAAATACACTAACATTCATCTCGGAAGCCAAGTCAACCAAATCCTTAGTAAAGAAGCCCATGTTGATCAGAAACAATTGACTTCTTCATATTAAATGTATGTATGATGTAACGATAAGCATATTATACACCTTACGAGGCTAACTATCGGTACAATTCAATTGGTTTTTGTGAAACTCTTCACAAAATTCGTTCAGAACGGCCCAAGTCCACCGCAAGCAGATATTGTCCTCTTTGGGCATTCCCTTCTTGGCTTCCCCTCAAGGTTTTAAAACACGTCTACTAGAGAGAGGTTTCCACACCCTTATAAGTAATGTTTCGTTCCTCTTTCCAACCAATGTGGGATCTAACAATCCACCCCCCTTGGAGGACCAGTGTCCTAGCTAGCACACCTTCGGTGTCAGACTCTAATACCATTTGTAACCGCCCAAGCCCACCGCTAACAGATATTGTCCTCTTTGGGCTTTCCCTTCCGAGCTTCCTCTCAAGATTTTAAAACACGTCTACTCGGAAAAGGTTCCACACCCTTATAAGAAATGCTTCGTTCTCCTCTCCAACCAAGGTGGTATCTCACAGTTCAATTTGGACCAAGCCAACTCAAAACTACCTAATCAGCCATCCATTAAAACCAGAATGCAAGAAGTAGCTACAACAATTTTTACAATAATCATATTAACAAATAACCCAGTATTTAAGAACCATGTTTCTGGCACTCTTACACTTATTCGACTTGTTAGTACAATAGCGTACAAAGTCAATATGGGTCCAACATTTGTTAGACACGTATTTGAACACCTTTTAAGCATACTAAATAGACACATAACAATATACCACAAAAATAATAAATTTGAGAGCAAAAGAAATCAAACTAATTTTTTAAGCATATAATTGAATCAACTCATTGACACAATTTCCTTCTTGTAACAAAATGATATTCATTTTAATAAACGTGTCTTTCTGTGTCCATGTCGTGTAGTGTCTGTGTCTCGTACCTATATCTATTTGTGCTTCTTTGCCATGTATGATCCATCAAATAGATACTCACTCCCTAACTCAAGTCTATACTCCCTTAATAATCATCTAAAGTAAGGCTTCCTATTTCCTCCCACTAATTCTTATCCTCATCAGTAATTAGTCACTGAAATTTCTTATTCAAAGCAAAATATGAACTGCAGCAGTCACAAGAATCAAGTAGGCATTTATCTTCACACTAGAGGTTGAAATGGTTAGACGAACACGACTCTCCACAATGGAATGATATTATCCACTTTGAACATAAGCTCTCGTGGCTTTGCTTTGGGCTTCCCCAAAAGGTCTCATACCAATGGAGAGAGTATTCTTTGTTTATAAACCCATGATCATTCCCTATGATCATTCCCTAAATTAGCCGATGTGGGACTTTCATCATCCAACACCTCCCCTCGAACAAAGCACACCTCCCCTTAATCGAGGCTTGACTCCTTTGGAGTCTTAGTCATTTTTTGACAGCCTTCATGTCTTCGAGGAGGCTTGACTCCTTTTTCTTTTTGGAGTCCTTTGTTCGACATTTGAGGATTTACCAATCTATTGGCACGACTAAGTTTAGGGCATGGCTCTAATACCATGTTAGACGAACACGACTCTCCACGATGGTATGATATTATCCACTTTGAGCATACATACCAATGGAGAGAGTATTCTTTGTTTATAAACCCATGATCATCCCCTAAATTAGCCGACGTGGGACTTTCATCATCCAACAGAAACAACAGCCCTACCGGAGTAACCCATTTTGAAACCATTTGATTTGACATGTATTGGATGACTAAATTTCCCTCTTGGTTCAATTATTTTACAGAGCCACATAGAAAATCGAGAAAGTTAAGCAGCTCAAAGGAAAAACATTCGAGCATTTTCTACATTACAAGGCAAAAGAGTAAATGGTGTAAATGGAAGATGATCGAACCTTGAAAGGTTGATAATAATACTGCACAAAGGAGTTCGGAATCGGAAAAACAGTAATTGCCTTGGTCTGGAGATTCAATCAGCCTGATTAAACGTATTCAAATTCATCCTCCTTCAGATGAGCGACGAATTTGACCGGAGGCCGGCCTTCAACCGGAACAACAAACTCCACCTTATACGGAAGATTAGCAGAAACATGTTTTCCCTTCCAAACGCGTACATAGTCCTTCAGCACTCCTTCCATCCCCTCAAGATTCGCCTCCGGCAACTTCGCTACATGATACACCTTCAAAGGTACCTTAACCCTAACTTTCGCTCCAATTCTAGTAGCAGCCGCTTCGCCAGTCTCCTCCTCAGACAATGACGTCGCCGCCGCCGAAACAACAGTAGCAGAAGAGGAACCTCTGGAATCTGATTTGACTGTAACCTCGCTACAAATTCTCCTCCCTCTTCTAATCAAGCAGTTGAAAGGATTAGCAACAACTGACGATAGAGAACTAACGGACGAGGAATAGGACGATTTGACATCAACACTAGTGGATACCGTCGTAATAGAACAGGCGGGACGAGCGGCCGCCGACGCTGACGCCGTCACCGGCGATGGTATCACGCCGACACTGCTTGCAATACTGATCATCTCTGCGTCGCCGGTGGAGTCGCGCGCCGAAGAAGGAATTATATATATTATTGAGAGTTTTTAATATTTTTCAGAAATTTCCTCTGCCTTTAATTTTATGGTATTGATTTATTTATTGGATATTTTCCAATAAATATCCAATAAATATTTATTGGATAAATATTTAATTTTTCAGAAATTCCCAGTCCACAGTCCACACGACCTTATTGGATATTTTCCACTTTAAAATTATATAATAACCAATTTTAATTATTTAATTATTTTTGGAAAAATTAAATTAAATATAAAAGAGAGTGTTTTTTTTTTCTTTATTTTTTATTTTTTTCCTTCTTATCTGGAACAAGAGAATCAGAATGATGCCACGTGTACTTTTCCTTATCTGGTGGATATGTGAATGTGTGATTACCGCGCTGTCGTTCTCCGCTTCATCGTTTTACGACACATCGTCCGAAATTAGAATTTTCGATAAATTATTCACTCCACATTTTTTTTAGTTTCGTGTTTATTTAGTCATAAATTTAAAATTATCAAATATGTAATTAAATGAAAATTGAATTTTTATATTTTGTGTTTATTTAATAAGAAATATGTACTTAGTTAAAAATTCAATTTCTTTTTAATTTTAAATAAAATATTTTACGTATATTAAACATGAAATTTAATTAAATTTGAATTTTTATATAGAATTATTAAACACAAAATTAAAAATTTATAAATCTATTAAACATTTTTAAAGTTTAAACACAATTTAAACAGAATTATAATATTAAACACAAAATTATACCAAAAATGAAAGCTTATAAATTTATTAAATATTTTTAAAGTTTAGAGAAGCATGGACAGGTTTAAAGACTAAACGTCCAATTTAACTAATTTTTTAATATTTTTCCATTTATAACGATTTTAAAAATGAGATCGATGTTATTTATCTAATTCTTAAAAAATGAAAAATAATTAACTCAGTAATATATAAAAATGATGTCAAATCCTACCATAATATGCATGATGAAATTCACTTGATAAATACCAGCCTAAGTCAAAATATTCAATTGCTAATAACTCAATTAGAAACGCTCTTACCAGGATTATAATATAAACATAGCCAAGAATATCAAAGGGAAGAGGAAAAACCAGCTAAGCAAATGATAATAATAACTCGTACCTACCAAGAAATGTCTCAACCAAATTTCAACGAGACAATCGATAAGCTACTTGAACCTGTTCAATCGCTAACAACTTATTTAGTAACGCTCTTACTAGGATTATAATATAAACATGGCCACAAATATCAAAGGGAGGGGGGGAAACCAGCTGAGCAAATGATAATAATAACTCGTACCTACCCAGAAATGTCTCACCCAAATTTCGACGAGATAATCGATAAGCTACTTGAACCTGTTCAATCGCTAACAACTTAATTAGTAACACTCTTACTAGGATTATAATATAAACATAGCCAAGGAAATCAAAGAGAAAGGGGAAAACCAGCTAAGCAAATATATTAATAACTCATCATACCTACTAAGAAATGTCTAAACCAAATTTCAACTACTGACGAGTTCATCGATAAGCAACTCGAACCTGTTCAATCGCTAATAACTTATTTAGAAACGCTCTTACTAGGATTATAATATAAACATAGCCAAGAATATCAAAGGGAAGGGAGGAAAACCAGCTAAGCAAATGATATTAATAACTCATACCTACCAAGAAATGTCTCAACCAAATTTCAACTATCCACAAGATAAGCTACTCGAACCTGTTCAATCCCTAATAACTTATTTAGAAACGCTCATACTAGGATTATAATATAAACATATCAAAGGAAAGGGGGTAAACTTGGAGAGGAGGGCAGACCAAAAGCTCACAGTCACGTATATACAATAAAAGTATCTCCAGAAAACTTGTGAAGAATGTAAATAGGAAGGAACTAAATCGAGTTGACCAGGGAGTTGAGTGTGCAGCTTATGTCGGCTTATACAATGATACTGATATGATATGGGTACAAAATACACAACAGGGGAATTCAAGAGGCGGGATATAACTGATGGACAAAAGGCGGCACGTTTTCTGAACGAAAGATTTACAGTGGTTTCGATTTGTTCGGAGGTAGAGCAGATCTGTGAGATGGGAAATATGTAGGAAATAATGCACAAAGATTCTCTATTATGGTATAAGGCTTGCTCCGCATGTTACACGACCACACGACGAAAAAATGCGCAAATGTTGACACCATTATCCATCAAGGATGGTTGAAGATGACGACGTTAAACGAAATGTGATCATCAGTCAGTGACGCATCAAAATATTTCAGATATAAGGATTACTTGGTTATACGTGATGGCCATGATATCGACCGATAAGTCTGCATTGTTCTGGAAGCAAAGAAGAAACGACTTGGCCAGTGAGGGGGAAAAGCTCACCATCAATGCCGCAGCCATTGTGTGTATGCTTACCAGGTTTAATCTTCACTGACTTCACCTGTATCGAGAACAAATAACGTTATAGGTAACGACGCTCGACTGTCTAAAATCTTTACCATTCTGCATATTTTTACTGAAAATGTAGCTGGATGGAACTTTACAATCTTTATCACTTCCACCGTTTTACAAAGACCTAATTGCAAGGATAAATGGGAAGGTAAGAGTATGCAAACCTTGACATATTCAACAAATGGCAACGAAAGGTGTCGACCCATCTGAAGCAGCAAAAAAAATCGCAACAGCCTTAGTCGTCCACTCCCATGAACCAGAAGCAAGTCGAGAGTATTGTCGTCGTGCTCAGATCTTGGGGCCACTACCTGAGAACTCTGAACAGTTCTACAAGCATGGTTACAAACTATGATTCCAAGAAATTTCCCCTTCTTAGTAACCCATTTATCTTCAACAGGAACTTGCTCTGTTGGACCTTCTTCTGCATCATTTGTTGGACCTGGCAATTCAATAGGATGTTCAACAACCCAATTGGACTCGGGATCCCACTTCGGTTCTGCATCCCAAATCGGACCCGGATCAGATAGTGTTGAAGATATATCCTCTCTGTCATTATTTGCAGCATTGCCCCAGGAACATCTAGTGGTGTCTTGTGTTGTAATCAACCCAGTCCACCCCTTGTCTGTCCTAGACTTTGACCTGGTCCTTGGCCAGTTGGGAGTAGCTGAAAAGGGTGGCTGTGGATGGATAACTTCGGGCTCCGCAGTTACATTGCTCCTTCCTGATGAAAGGCGCTTTGATTTAGGATCGAGACCACGTACATAATCGGATGGTTCAGTGCTAGCACGAGTGCTACTACAGTTAGTATCCAAGTCTCCACCAGACATTCGACTAGGCGTCATTATGGAATCAATGCTTGATAAACTAGATGCCCTCGGGATTCCCTCTTTGCTTGATCTTCGCATTATATCTGTGTATAAATCTGACATGTCAACAACTTCATGTTCAGCAAGGCGTTTTCCTTCATCCTCTAATGATGCTGGAAGGTATTCCAATTCAAAACTGTACTTCGGTAAGCATAAGAACTTGAGGAATCCGGCAACAAAGTAACGTAGAGGACCAAACCGCTTCTGATACTTCTCAGAAAGTTCCAACACTGTAACAAGAGGCAAATTCAAACCATCTTCTTCGATGAAACAAAACCCATGTAATTTATATGTCAACATATTAATGGAAGTTCGTTTCTTGGGAGAAAAAGAAAAGTTGCATCTACAAAAACTTGTGTATGATACCCAAGTGAAGGCAGGCCAGCCTACTCAAAAGCCATCCTTAGCTTTATTCACACCACAATCTCATCTTATCAAAAACAGAGAAATAATTTTGAAGCCTCGAGCAATGAAAACTTAATTTCAAGCTTATCACGAGAGAGAGGTTTGCCCCATGAGGATGAACCAAGTATTTCAACAAGCATGACTCAATAGCGAACAGAAAGTAGGCCTCGCTATTTTGTTTCTAACGTTTTGTTTAAGAAATTAAGCTTACAAAGATTACTTACACCTATGCTGTTTGTTTTAGTTTATCTTTTCACTTTTGATTCTTTCATAATACTTTAGAATTATAAGAAACTCAAAAAAGAGGATGAATTTATACCATAGAAAGGTGTGAATTGACAAGAGAAAAACGAGAGATGTACATAATACAATGCTGTAAGGTATACCATTGTAAAATAGAAAAGTATAAAAGTTGATGGCATAAAGAGCAAGGGGAAAGAAAAACTTCCATGAGCACCAAAAAAGAGAAGCATGGCCCTATTCACTTCACCCTATCAACATTAGTTTAGAACACTAATCTAAATGATAAAATGAATTAAAAAATCATTACTTACCATCACTGACAAATCCATAATATGAGACTGTCAACCCAAAATGAATAACACCCGATTTGATCCATTCAACAGCAAAAACATCAGTTGCAGTAAGACCACCCTAGGAAAAATAAAAATCACCACACAGCATCACAGAGAGAAACATAGCTAATAACACTAATCTTGAAACAACCAAAATTTCAATGCCTATAGAATCTTGACCATGTGGTGTATATAAAAAGTTGGGTTATAGGTGTAGAAATCGTGATGAGTTGTGTTTCCACACAAGCATGAATATACGTGCATATATATCTGGCAATAACATCATCATGCAATTATTTTTTTTTTGTCATGAGAACTACTCATATGCTCATATAAGAGGTGATTTTTACAACTTCCCACGTGAGTATGTCCTCATTATTTTAATAAATTACACAATCTACATTTCATCCAGGAACAGGAAACGTAAATCCCAATATTTACCTTTGCTAGAAAAGACCTTAGGTACAAAAGCAAACACAACAAGAAAATATCTTGTAAAACTCACAAAGAACACATGTTGTGAACTACAAATCTGGAGCAATACTGCATCCTAACTGGGTTTCCAAACCATGGAAACCTTGTTCATATATCTAGGAACAATAAAAAAATAAAAAATAAAAAAAATGTGATCGTGGTACAACTTTATAGACACCCTAAGTTAACCATAAAAAGTTTTCACCTTCACAATAGCCATGGCAGCAGAAATAGGATCTCTAACACCAAGAACAGTCCAAACCAACGAGTTATC